AAAAAAAAAAAAAAGGAAGTGAGAAAGGAACATGCTTTGTTGTTTGAGGAAAAATGACTGAATGTGAAACATAAAGCTTGGGGATAAGATGTGGAGGGGGAGTGCTCTTAAGTGCTGTGCAGTGGGAGACCTAGTGTACATTCAGCCAAGTCTTGCGTGTGGTCGAATGATGGAGCTCAGCAGCAGCTCACCCTGTCATTTTCACACCTCTCGGAACATCGTGTTTGCACCTTGCTAGCATTTATTATTATTTTCTTTTTTTTGGCGCACGTTCCAGGACTCAGATAGATAATCTTGTCTACAAAGACAGATCTGTGAAGTGCATCGCTGTTTCTCATTTTTAATGATGGCGACCGACGTATAATATATATGAGGTGAGATTGATGAAATGCAGCTTGTCGAAAATTACAGTAGGTAAGGCTATAAATAATACCACAGCCAGCTATTAATCAGGAAGAGCTAAAATATTGCAGATGCTTTCCAACATCACTGTCATCTTTGGTTTGAATATGCAGTCTGTCATTCCAAAACTAAGAGCTATATGGTGGAGAATGTTATTTTGTCTAACAGACTTGAGCAGGTTGTCAAGCAGACTTTAGGCCTATAGAGCAAATGGGTGTCTACTATGTGGAAATGCATTCCCTCACATAATACAACCAAGGAAGGGAGCACATGAAGCACTTAGGTTAGAAGCAGGGCTTAATTTGAGTCTAATCTGGAACAGGGTCCGGGAACTCTCTTTGCCAGGGTGTGTTCCAGTAACTGTTTGCTTGGATCCATTAACTCAGATTTACTAATAATAAAGTTACGAACAAATATGACTGTCTTGAATGAATAAAACTTATATTGGGTATGTAAACTGAAAATAATTACATAAACACTAATTTTAAACACAACAGCCACTTACGAGCTGCTTAATGTCACAGCTGCCCCTTCAAGTGAAGCATTTCCGCTTCTACCCTTAAAAAAATCTCTGACCCTTAAAGTCCAAAGTCAATAGCAAATCAGTTTTAGTAAGTGAATAAGTAGTTAGTTAATAAAATTTTGATTCTTTTATAAAAAAAAATATGAGAGAAATTTTTGACGTTATGTGTCAAAACAACAGCGCTAATTTGTCAAAATAACAGCGATCAAAATGACAGTCCAATTTACTTTCATTAAACAAAGGCTTCTTGTTGTCTTTAGTTGGACAATCAAGAATTGAAGCACCTTAAGGCAGTAGCAATCGAGATTGGAGTAGGAGCGAGAGAGTGGTGGGGGTGAGTGCCGAGCTAACCAGGCAGTCGGACACGGCAGGAGCCCACAGGCAGCCGCCATGAACAGACGGAGGAGGTGCCTGGAGGTTTCACATATGGAGTTGTACATTAAGGAGCAGGATAGTGAATTCAGTGAAGAGTCGGTCTTGGAACCATCAAGTAAGGGGGAGTAGGGGGGTGATGCTTGACAGAAGCGACATGTTTAGAAATGTAGGTAAATGTAGATGTTTAACAACCCATTAAAATACAGAAAATACAGCAAAATGCAAGAAATCACATCTACTTTATTAAAAATTTTCTGGAGAAGGACCCTTAGAAATCCCCTGCCCTCATCAACCCACCCATTTTTTTTAAATTCTGGCATCAATCAGTTTATAAATTAAGCCCTGGCTAGAAGTTTCTCAAACAAAACACACTTTTCCTCTTCTCCTAATGTGTTTTAACCACAACGGCAGTATTGACTTATAGGCTTTGCCACTTTGCCCTCCTCTTCCCATAACATTAACCTTTAGGAACAACAAGCCACATCATTGTTAATGTTCTTCAGAGATCTGAATGAATAAATCCAAACTGACCTTATCCAGGTGGGATCTGCTAAGCTTTTTCATCATGATCTGGTGGTCTGTGTGTATTGATTACCACGTCAAGCTCAGAGGCAATAGGGGCTGTCTGGTGGCTCCGCTCCAATACCGATCACCAGGGGCAGCGGACGCACAGCACAGATACTGAACCTACCAAACAAGTTAATTATACCTTCAAGAGTTTCATCTGCATGCTGCACTTTTGCTGGCACATCTGCATGGCAATTGTCTGTTGAAGTGAGGAGATGTTTTAAGAAGTAGTCTAGAATTTGTTGAAATTGTTGAATCGCAGCTGTTGCTTAACTGTAGCCTGTCTGATTTGCCTTGCATCATTAAGCTAACCCCTATTATTATGAAAGAGTGCAACTGTGCAACTCCTGACAGATGCTTACAATATGTGACAAGTAATTATTTTGTCTGGTCTATGACACTGAAAATTCACATAACAAGCACTAAAGTGATTATTTTTCTGAAAATTTATTGGTTATGAATTTAATGAATTGGCCAGTTTGATGCATTAACATCATGAAAATTTACGGAAACTGTAAGAAAAAAAAAAGTTTATTTGTTTTTAAAGCGTCAGGAAGTACCACACTGTAATGTGAGAGTTCAGAGCTTTATGTTGCAAAAATAACAGATTAAGGTGAACACATTTGATGCTTTTCAAAAACTGTTCCCCCCCCCCCCCCCCCCCCCGTCACAGCGGAGGGGAGACAGAAACAGATTCAGAAGTGGAGGACCGTGTGGATGGAGTTAAGTCATGGCTGTCGAAGAACAAAGGCTCCAACAAGACTCAGTCTGATGAAGGAAGTCTAAAGAGCAGCAGGTTAGTCCTCGTGCTCTCTTGTATCATGTCTAATGATCATCTAGTGATAAAACTACCCACATTTCATTAGTCTTAAAAAGGCCCACGATTACCTGGGGCGTTGTGCAACAGAACGATGGGGTCCTCATGTGATTAGGTGTCATCTCTCTCTCCTAGTAATCTGTCTAATGACAGGAGGTGGTATGGGGGAAGCGGCTGCTGTCACATTTATTGAGATGGCTTGTGGCCAGTTGGCACGCCTGCCAAATGACGCCTTTCCCTCTGTCAGATAGGTCCTTTCACTAGTTGATTGCCTCACTTTCAGCAATGTACTCTGCACATAACAGCAATGGTCAGAGGCACTGTGTTCCCCATCTCTTGACTAATCCCAAGGACAAAGTGATTTTTTTTTTTACCCAAACAATTTGTAGCATGAATTGTCAAGATGTCAAAACGTTAAATCTTAGCTACCACAGGTTTGCTGAGAGTGTTTTGCAAAACCAAATATTAGAACTTATCCTTTAAATGTGTTTTTATTCTGCCTAAATTTTGGTGTCAATTTTATTGCATAACTTTATAGATATTCAGCAAATGCAGATGCCAAGGAGATGAAAGAAGGTAAGGAGAAGATGAGTGACAGCAGTAAAGACGGGAAAGAAGTAGAGCCGAACAGATCGGTGTCTGTCATGAGTTCCCTCAGCTACAGGAAACGCTCAAACCTCAAGGACTCCATTGGGGGTACAGGAGATGACAGCTCACTGTTCAGCACTCTCAAGGAACAGCCTGACATGCCAGATCACGCTGCCATTCGTAAAGCCAAGTCAAAAACCGGTGAGCTCCAGGAAGATCGAAGGAAGAGTCAGGACGATGTCGATGATAAAGGTTCTGTCATCTCCCTGGCCTATTCTGAAGCCACCAGCAGAGCCAGGAAGGGCTTGGAGTCCCGCTGGACTTCCCGTAGCAGCCCTGAGTTTGATAAGGAGTCCATGGTGTCCTCTGTGGCTCCCAGCAGGATATCAACCAGGAGGAGCGTGCTGGACATGGATGATGACAATAAGTCGACCATTAGCAGTGTGAGCCACTCCAGCCCACGCTCACTGCGTCGCAGCGCCTCTTGGAAAGATGACAAACGCAGCAGCTCTCGCTTGTCTCTCGCGCGCAGCTGTGGCCTCAGTGACTTTGGTCTCCATGTAAATGATGATGATGATGGCCAGAGTTTGGCTTTTGGTGATGGTGGACACTCACCTTACAGTTCCGTCAGTCGCAGCTTTTCCACGCCACCTCAGCCACGTTCTTCAGACAATAATCAGCCTGATACGTCCGACATTAAACCGGTCACTCACAGAAATTACCTGGACCCTGACTTAGAGGCTGCAATTAACGAGGTGCTGAGCTTCAAACCCATTAAGTTCAAGCGAAGCAAGCTAGATGAGTCTAGCGATGAGGATGAAAAAAAAGGCCCAGGAAGTGAGGACAGTAGGAAGGAGGAAAATAAGGTCTTTGCTTCATCAAGCCTGCTTCGATCCTCATCGAGCTTCTCTCAAGATTATGACGATCGCAAATCAAGCACCTCCTATAGCTGTAAGGGCAAAAAATCTAAAATTTCATCATCAGACTCCTCCTCTGATGACGACCGACACAGCAGAAAAAGTACAAAAGGGAAAAAGGACAAGAAGTCCATGAAGAAATCCAAGAAAAAATTAAGCGAGTCAGAAGATTCCTCTTCCTCCTCAGAGTCGTCAGAGTCCTCATCTTCTGATTCAGTTATCTCGTATCGAAGTTCCAGTAGTGTTAAAAAAGGCCCAAAACAGCAGAGGGATGATGATGATGATGATGAGGAGGAGCTTGCCGCTTGTGGACAATCTAGCAAGAAAGAAAGCAAGAAGAAGCAAAAGAAGATGGATAGCTTGGTGATGAAGTACCTCTACAAGCCTGACAGTGATTGATACAGCACAACAAGGTGATGCTTGGCACAATAATAACCCAGGAGTCTAGCAAAAATAACAGTGAATTCAGGATTTTTCACTCATCGCACTAACCTTGTTTGCTGTGTGAGTTATTCTGATGCACTAAAAGAAGATAAGTCCTGATACCCTTCTCGCTTGTTTTTCTTCAATAGTCTCATTAGCTAATTGGAGTAGAGCATGCTACTATTTTTAAATGGACCACTTTCCTGATTTTATTTATTTATTTTGTTTTGAATAGAGATGAAGTGGTATAGGCAACCATCACAAACTACATGAGAGCAAATATTACAAACAGTTCAATTGCCACTCAATGACTCTTCCTGTGGGCAGCACGGTGGCACAACTGGTAGAGCTGCTGCCTCTCAGCGAGCAGGTCCCTGGTTCAAATCCTTGTCCTGGGCCTTTCTGGGTGGAGTTTGCATGTTCTCTCCATGCATGCGTGGGTTTTCTCCGTGTACTCCGGTTTCCTCCCCCAAACCAAAAACATGCATGTTAGGCTGATTGGTAACTCTAAATTGTCCCTAGGTGTGAGTGAGAGAGTGAATGGTTGTTTGTCTCGTTTGTCTCTATGTGGCCCTGTGATGGACTTGCGACCCGTCCAGGGTGTACCCCGCCCCTCGCACAGTGATTGCTGGACATGGGCACCAGCGACCCCCGTGACCCAAAATGGAATAAGCGGGTAAAGATGATGGATGGATGGATGGATGGACTCTTCCCGTACTCCACATGTCCTGATTTTCTGTCAGGGCAATTTGACACAGTCTATCTGTACCATGTTGGTACTATGTCCAGTAGGGATGTGAAAATTAACCAATTTGTGCACATTCACAGCACACACAATGCAAATGTATTGGTAGAGCAGCCATGGATATATAGTGTTTGGGATTAAATCGAAATTCATAGTTTTTTTTTCTTTTTTGAACCATGGAACATCACCTTTCTGGTGAGGAAGGAGCATTAGCTTATCTGTGATGTTGAGAAGTACTAAGCAGCAGATAATGGTTGGATGGATGAAGTCATCAAACAAGTTTGTTTGTACATATATCTGCTCAAAAGGAGAGTAGTTGTGTGAAAATGTGTTGTATAAACAATATGTTTGTACAACTTGTCTTCTGGGGTCATTTCTGCTGTAACATAAGGTTAACAGACACCTACAGTACTGTTTCGAGGGAGAATTAGTGTAAGCTGTAACAGACAAAAAAAAAAAGTTTGACAGCTCAATCATCCAGGTAGATAAATCACACACACGAAAAGGGTTAAATCATGTCATCTGGACAGTTTTTTTTTTT